AACTTTATCAATGTTTCTTTTACGAGTTTTATAAGAATTATGTTGTAGGAAAAGTGATTGTGTAATGTTATAGAAATTCGTTTTGCGTACCTTATTTTTTTATTTTAAAAAGTGTGGGTCCCACAAAATGTTGTGATGCTAGTTAATAGCCTTTAAATTAGTATGAACATGCTTAACAATTATAAGAGATGATGATATATAATAAATGATTTCTCACAATTTTTTTTTTATTTCATTGATATATTATAAATCATTTTGCCAGATTAATCATAAAGCATATTAATTAGAATCAGAACGTTATTATCCAAAAAAATAAATTTATTACTTTTTATAATTATTTTACTAGCATTAGAGATTTTGCTTCTCACAATTTTTTGAACTAATTTTGGATATTAATTTTTTTTAATGTATTAATAATAAGCTCAAAATCAATATTAACAATATAATTATCCTAAATTAATTGGGGCAATGGCCAATAAACCTAAATAAAAAATAATTGGGCTCAGCCCCCTCATTAACAAAAAGAAAAAAGAAAATATAGAAGGAAAAATGGGTCTCATCCACATATAAGCTATTTAGTAAAAATAAATTAAAGAGTAACGAACTTATCTACAAACATATAAACTTTATCAATGCTTTCTTTTATTTTACAAACTTTTAAAACTATACTTTTTTAAACGAAAATAATAATAAAATAAATAGACTTGGTCAGTGCAATAATAAATAACTTATTAAGGACGCATAACGCATGCATTGCCAGCGACCGAGTCTATGCTAGTTAATAGCCTTTGTCTATGGACGTACAATTTTGTTCGCATTGCCAGCAAGCGAGTCCATGCTAGTCAATACTCAATAGTCTTTGTCTTTGTCTATCGACGTACCTTTAGGGTGAAGTGAGTATTCAAATAACGAGGAGATTATAGTTATTTTTTTTTATTTTCTCTTATTATTAAATTTTAATCATTAATTTTTATTAATTTAATTATTGTAATTTATTGAATCATATTTATTAATTAATTATTAATTTCTAATAAATTATAATTGTTAGATTGACAGAAATCAACGGTTACAATTTAATAGTAAGGAGTAATAAAAAAAAGAGGTATTAACTATAACCTCTCTCTCGAATAATTGCTTTGTTCAAGAATTTAAATTTCAGTAAAATAATTTTTTGAAGGTCAGAATTAAATTATTTCCTTTTTTAAAGAGAATTAGTCTCATGACTCTCGTCCTTCATTCGATGATAGTAATTTAATTGATGAGTATATATTTAAATCTGTTTTTAAATAGTTAGTTCTTAGTTAGTTCTAACTGTTTATTAGTTAGTTATTTTTCTGTCAATCTCAATTAGCCTCCGTTAGTGTTTCTGTTAAATTCAATTAGCCTCCGTTAGTGCAAAGCTGGCTAGCTTGTGTATTGACACATACTATATATATGTGTCAACTGTACAGAATAAGCTACATGCATTGATTCTATATCAAACATTGCAATTCAGTTTTCTTTTTTTCTCTCAAATGGGTTTGTTAAAATTCATTTGTATCAAGGTATCAGAGCTCTACACAGAGCTCTGATATTCGCCTCTTCCTTTTGTTTTTCAATCTGTTCCTTTTCATTTCGATTCACAATTTGTTCCTTAGTTTCTTTTGAATTCCTATTGGAAGCTACCTACTGTATCTTCGATCTTTGGCGAATCAGAGCTCTGTTAGTGTTGGAGAAACGATGGAGAATCAAGATCCAGTTTCTACCACAATTCCACCACAATCAAGATCATCGAACTCTATTGATAATTCGGATCCAGCAAGTCCTTATTTCTTGCATTCCAATGAAAATCCCTCACTTGTGCTTGTTTCAACGCTGATGAATGGTAGAAACTACCATGGTTGGGCTAGGGCCATGAAGATGGCTTTGATATCGAAAAATAAATTTTCTTTTGTTAATGGTACCATATCAGCACCAGATCCATCAAGTTCTCACTATGCGGCATGGGAACGATGTAATACCATGGTCCTTTCATGGTTACACCGTTCCATTACTGAATCTATCTCTCAGTCAACATTATGGATGGATCGAGCCTCAGATGTGTGGAATGATCTCAAGGAGAGGTTCTCACAATCTGACATTTTTAAGATTTCTGATCTACAGGATGAACTTTACAAGTTACGTCAGGGTGATAGTTCTGTGTCAGACTATTACACACGGTTAAAGATCCTATGGGATGAGCTAGAGGCTTTGCAACCAACACCAACGTGTAAGTGTGTGCGTCCTTGCTGCTCCATAGCTTCAGATGTGAAGAATATTCGTGAAAGAGACTACTCAATTCGGTTTCTCAAAGGACTGAATGATCAGTTCGCCAATGTCAGATCTCAGGTGATGCTAATGCATCCATTGCCTTCTGTCAATCGTGTCTTCTCTTTGGTAATGCAGCAAGAGAGACAACTTCACTTGGAAGGATTTTTTAATAATCAGGAAGCACATAAAGCTTTCTACAATTACAATGATCAAGCACAAGGCAGAGGACGTTTTCAACCACGAGGTAGAGGACGTGGTACCTTCACTGGAAGAGGAAGGTCCAGTTCATCAAGGCTTTGTACCTACTGTGGGAAAACAAGCCATACAGTGGAGACTTGTTTTGAGAAACATGGATATCCTCATGGTTTTAAGCCAATCCAACAAAGCTATTCAGGCAACACACCTCACAAAGCCAATGCAGCAGCTGTGTCAAAAGATCAGGAGCCTACTCCAATTGAGGGTGTTGTGAATCCTCCACAGATTGATATGCAGGATGGTTTTACCCATAATCAGTACCATGCTATACTTGAGATGATTCAACATTCTCTCCAGCAGAACTCACCTCATTCAAGCAACTTGGCTCAGACCAAAGCATTCAGTGCAGAAACAACAGAATCTTCACCAGGTATCTTTAATGTACAGTGGATTTTAGACACGGGTGCCACTGATCACATCACATGTTCATATGCAAACCTTTCCTGTGTTCACAAGATTGAGCCCATTACCATTTACTTGCCAAATGGAAATCAAGTGTTTTCATATTATTCTGGTACTGTTCAACTCTCGAATTCCCTCAAGTTGACAAATGTGCTGTTTGTAGAAGAGTTCACAGTGAATTTAATATCAGTCACTAAGTTGATAGAAGAATCTAATTGTCGTGTGATTTTTCAGAATCCAACATGTATCATTCAGCAAATGCCATCTCAAGAGATGATTGGTTCAGCTGATTTGAAGAAGGGCCTGTATGTTCTTCAAAATAATGGTCATGAAGACAAACATTTTAATTTTGCTAAAAAGAAGTTGTTGATTGATACACTTCCTTTCAATAATAGTACCCTTACTGTACAGTCCCTCATTTCTGATGAGTGGCATTCTCGTTTGGGGCATTGTTCCAAATCTGTAATAAAGGCCATGATGGCTCAATTTCCTTTCATCTCTTGTAAAAACTTGGATGATCCATGTGATATTTGTCATTTAGCAAAACAAAAGAAACTGTCATTTCCTATCAACTCCTCTATTTCTAATTGTGCTTTTGATTTGGTACATGTTGATATTTGGGGGCCCTGCTCTCTCAATTCAATATATGGATATCGTTATCTTTTAACTGTTGTGGATGATCATACACGTTTTACTTGGGGTATCTTTATGAAAGCAAAATCTGAGACACGAAGCCACATTCAATCTTTTGTAGCTCTTGTGAAAAATCAGTTTAATGCTACCATAAAGTGTTTTTGTAGTGACAATGGCCCAGAGTTTTTAATGACTGATTTTTTCAATGAAAGAGGGATATTACATCAAACTTCATGTGTGGAATCACCTCAGCAAAATGGAGTTGTTGAAAGAAAGCAACAACATATTCTCAATACTGCAAGAGCCCTTTCATTTCAGAGTAAAATACCACAAAATTTATGGTCTTACTGCATTACTCATGCCATATATCTCATTAATCGACTGTGTTCACCTATGCTGCAAAACAAGTCACCATTTGAATTACTGTACAGCAAGCCCTCTATTATCATTCAATTAAGGAACTTTGGGTGTTTAGCATATGCATCTACAATCAGTAATGGAAGGACAAAATTTGATCCACGGGCTAGAAAATGTGCCTACATAGGACACAAAGATGGTGTTAAAGGCTATGTCTTATATGACTTGGGATCCAAACAAGTTTTCATATCCCGAAATGTGATATTTTATGAGAAGCATTTTCCTTTCTTAGAAATGGAAAACTCAAGAAAGGATCTTCCCTGGCCTCTTCCAGTTAATTCATCAACTCTATATGATTCGAGTATTTCACAAAAGTCTCAGGCAACAACACCATCTAGCACCCCATCTACTGCACAAGACCACCAACCTACTGTATCTGTGACAGGTGTCCCAAGGGAACCTTTGACTACTTGCTCAGAAAATCCTATTGCTCCCATTATTCCAAGAAGGTCCACAAGAGTAAGAGGACCTCCTAAACATCTTAATGATTTCCAATGCCACATGACAACAGCTGATCATACACTAAATCAAGAATCTGGTACGTGTACTTACCCTTTGTCTTCTGTGATTTCTTATAACCAATGTTCTGATGGATATTCCAAATTTTGTCACAATGTGAGTTCTGTTGTTGAGCCTCAAACATACAGACAAGCAGTCCAGTCCAAAGAATGGATTTCTGCCATGACAGAAGAAATTGCTGCACTCAATCATAATAGAACCTGGACCTTTGTTGATTTACCTAAAGGAAAGAAGCCAATTGGCTCCAAGTGGTTTACAAAGTGAAGCACAATGCAGATGGCTCTATTGCTCGGTTTAAAGCAAGACTTGTAGCCAAAGGATACAATCAAATGGAGGGAGTAGATTACTTTGAAACATTCTCTCCAGTTGCCAAATTAACCACCATTCGACTTCTTTTGGCTGTAGCAGCTTCACGTGGCTGGTTCCTAGAGTAGCTTGACATTAACAATGCATTTCTTCATGGGGACCTTTCAGAAGAGGTATATATGTCTATACCAGATGGTGTTGTTCCACCTAAACCAAGCCAGGTTTGCAAGCTTGAAAAGTTCCTTTATGGACTTAAACAAGCTAGTCGCCAATGGAATGCAAAGTTGACCAATGAACTTTTCTCTCTTGGTTACATACAATCCTCAGCAGATCACTCTTTGTTCACCAAACAGAATCATGGTTCTTTCACTGCCCTCCTTGTGTACGTTGATGACATGGTCTTGACTGGGAATGACATGAATGAGATACAACATGTTAAAGGTCATCTTGATAATCTGTTCTGTATCAAGGACCTTGGCCCACTTCGGTTCTTCTTAGGCTTTGAGATAGCTCGCTCTCAACGTGGTATTGTGCTGAATCAAAGAAAGTATACCATTGAATTACTTTCAGATGGTGGTTTAACTGGTGCTAAACCTGTGTCTACTCCCATGGAGGCCACTATTCGTCTAAGTCAGAATCAAGGAGAGCCTTGTCATGAACCAGCAGCTTACCGTAGACTTGTTGGACGCCTGCTATATCTTACAAATACACGTCCTGATATATCCTTTGCTGTTCAACAACTTAGCCAGTTTGTGGCTCACCCAATGAAGCCTCATTTTGATGCTGCCATGCGAGTTCTCAAGTACCTCAAAGGGTCTCCAGGCAAAGGAATTTTCTTTCCTTCTCAAAATTCCCTAAATCTCTCTGGTTTTGCAGACGCTGACTGGGCTACTTGTCCAGACACTCGCAAGTCTACAACCGGATTCTGTGTGTTTATTGGTTCTTCTCTGATTTCATGGAAATCTAAGAAGCAGAGTACCGTGAGTCGTTCCTCAGCTGAAGCGGAGTATCGTGCTTTAGCCACCTTGACATGTGAAATGCAGTGGCTTACATATCTTCTACATGATCTTCACATACCAATTTCTGGTCCAGCCATGATATACTGTGACAACCAGGCTGCAGTACATTTAGCACATAATCCTACGTTTCATGAGCGCAGGCTTGACTGCCATGTTACACGTGAGAAGATCATCCAAGGCTTGATTCACTTACTTCCTATCTCTACCAAACAACAACTTGCAGACACTTTCACAAAAGCTCTCAATCCTGCTCCTTTCCAAGAGTTTCTGTCCAAGTTGGGACTTTATGATATTCATCTCCCAACTTGAGGGGGGGTGATGAGTATATATTTAAATCTGTTTTTAAATAGTTAGTTCTTAGTTAGTTCTAACTGTTTATTAGTTAGTTATTTTTCTGTCAATCTCAAACAGCCTCCGTTAGTGTTTCTGTTAAATTCAATTAGCCTCCGTTAGTGCAAAGCTGGCTAGCTTGTGTATTGACACATACTATATATATGTGTCAACTGTACAGAATAAGCTACATGCATTTATTCTATATCAAACACTGCAATTCAGTTTTCTTTTTTTTCTCTCAAATGGGTTTGTTAAAATTCATTCGTATCATTAATAGTCCCTCTATTTCAATAAGGAGATAGTTTTAGAGGCATATTCCGATGATAAAATAACCAGATGAGGTTGAGTAAGGATATGGTTTCATAAAAAAAAAAAAAAACAAGTAACGCTTCAACAACACGCCACAGGACAGCTGTCGCAATTGTATATCTAATATGTATTGCTATTTATACGTTATCCGTTACGTAAAAATTTCTGGAGCACATAGTTGAAAATTTATGTGTAGTATATTATAATCAAAAATAAAAAATTTGAACACGATCCAATCAAGCGTAAACTGATTTGGGAATATTCAGCTAATAAAGTCGATGAGATACGAAGAGCCTATTTAATAGCTAGGCCATATCAACCTCAATGCTCCTATCCATTTTTAAAGAAAAAACATTCTCAACATTTTCAAGCTTCTTGGTTCAAAGAATTTTCTTTGTGGCATGAGCACTCACCTTATATAGATGCTGCATTTTGTTTACCATGCTATCTTTTCAGTAAAAATGTTGGCGGGCGACATGGTTGGAATGCATTCACAATTAAATTGTCAATTGAAGCATTTTCACAAGGACATCCCAAAACATCCAGAACTTCAAAATTTATCTTTAATTTCTGAGCTGTATCAAGGATTAGCTAAGATATGAAAGTCAATTTCCTATCATTTGGTTGATAGGCTTATTCGTCTTATCTAAACACTACCAGTTTCAACAGCAAGTAGTGAACGTGCATTCTCAGCAATAAAAATTGTGAAAACAAGGCTTCAAAACAAAATGGAGGATGACTTTCTTGCAAATAATTTGGTTGTGAATATATTGAAAGAGAGATTGCTGAAACTTTTACTACAAATTCTATCCTTGAAGATTTCGTCAATTTAAAAGAGCGTCGTTTACAATTTTAGGTATGCAATTTTTTTATTATATTTTAAATTATTTATTAAATGTTATTGTACATATAATTATTACATTTGTGTGCATTCATATCCTTAAGAGAATACTTGGTTCATTACTTATTATGCCGTGGAAGGAAAGTGAAATGCTTATGTTTGAAATGCTTACCGGAAAGGTTAGTTTCTTTTTATGTTTGCTTTGATATATAATTATTGGCAATTGTTTATTTAAATTTCTAATATTATGTGATATTATTTAGTAAATAATTTAGATAAACATGCTAGAATTCATAGTAAATTTTTTACCTCGTAAATTTGGATAATTATGATAAAAATTTTGATATGTTAAATTTTTTGGCACCACCTAAAATTTATTCTTAGCTCCGCCATTAGGTCTAGGGTTAGCTTTTGTCGAAACAGGGAATCTTTATTTACGGACTCTAAATAGCGGGCCATCTCATGACTCCTTTACTATGCATAGATTTCCAAGTCCCGTAAATGTCATCCCGGTTTCACTGGTCTACGGATAACCTAATCTCTCATAGAGATTGAAGAATTTCTTCATTTTGTCACACTAGCCCTGAGTCCTTAGGGCATGCCCAAAAGTATACCTACGAGTCTCCATGTTTCAGGCAGACAAGGTATATAATCAAAGCAAGCCTTCTAGAGCTATTGATATTAAGAGACATTACCTATTGATATTATCTGTGAGATTTCCTTGTAGTATCTCTTTGTGGGTCAATTAAGTGCGACCTATTCTCCAATAGGTCCACCTACGAGTCAACTAAGACATCTCAATGTCTGTAGCTCATGAGGACTCTACCTTGCATCTCCAAGCAAGTAGCTGAGTTGTGCTAGTCTTACCCGAGATCACCAATGCCCATTATCGGTATCTCTAGACTAGGAACGTATTTCTGGCAATGGACGTGTGGTGTCATTGAGCCCTCATGATCGTGATCCCTATCACAGATCCTCTATATAACACTCTTTTCATTCCAAGGACTTTATCCAATTACTCATATTCAATATTTGAGACATGCAGTATGAAACAAGATAAAAAGTGCTTTTATGTATAAAATTTATTCATAACAATAAAGAAGTACATAGATCCATCTGACTCACAGATTATCTCTAAGACACCTATGTAGTAACAATTCATAAATCTTTGACTGCCTTTGTAGATTGTGGAGCAGAGATAAATTGTATAAGAGAAGGATTAATTCCTCCTAGATATTTTGAAAAAATAATATAAACTTTATTTGCGGTAAATAATAAAAAATGAAAATAAATTATATAGAGAATATCAGAAGTCAATATCTATAATAAAGGAGTGTGTTTAGGATTACTCTGTTTACCAAAAAAAGAATAAGAGGAGTGTGTTTAATAAATGCATTTATATTTACGCTGGGAATTACTGAAGACATGGTGTTTTTTAATCTCAAATATACCCTTTTGAAGTATCAGAATAAGTAATTAAGTAAAAGATAGAGAATTAGTTTTTGACTCCATAAATTTTAAAAATTAAAGAAAATTATAACGTTCAAGAATTTAATGAAGAAAACTATATCAATAACAGATAAATAAAAACAAATAAAGTTCTTACCAAAAAAGGACATAAAAGAATCAAAGAACAACGAAATAAAAAATCCTAAAATACAAGACAAAAATTTACAAATTATAATTATACAATATGATTGCTCCACTGTACTCTTATTCATTTCTTTACACACACATTATATTTATAATATACATGAAAACAACAAATATAACAGGATTGTTCATAAAGATTACAAAAGGTTGTAGCAGAACTTTGATATAAAATGCAGTGAAGTGCATGCTGGCATGCCATAATCATCTTCCATCATCGAAAGCAATTAGTTCATGATCCATGATGCTGTCATACCCAGTATTTTGATGATGGCTGTTATCACCATGTTCATGAATGCTAGATCATGCCTCATGAAGCAGGTAATGAGTCTCCTCTAGATTTACCTCTGCATTGGTCCATGAGTGCTTCTCCATTAGCCTTATTCCCTCCAATTCCATAGCCACTTCTTTCATGCTAGGCCTCTCCTCCCCTATAAGTCTCAAGCATTTTGTTGCAAGAATAGCAACCTCCTTGATCTCCTCCTTATTTTCTTCATTCAAAATTCCAACTTGAAAGACTTTAAACATGCGATCCTCTTTCAAGCAAGACAGAAAGTGCATAGCGAGACTTCTTTCCTCTTCTGGCCTCTTAAAACAAAGAGGTTTCTCCCCTGTAAGCAGCTCTACAAGCACTACTCCAAAGCTATACACATCACTTTTCTCAGTAAGTTGGCTTGTTTGCATGTACTCAGGGTCCAAATAACCAAAAGTTCCTTGCATCATTGTGGCCAATTCAGTTTGATCAAGAGGAACCAATCTTGAAGCTCCAAAATCAGACACTTTGGCAGTATAAGTGTCATCCAAGAGAATGTTAGCAATCTTCACATCTCTGTGGATAATGGGTATATAAGCAGCTGAATGCAGATATGATAGAGCCCCTGCAGCCTCTGCTGCTATCCTTAGCCTTGTTTTCCATGTTGCGTTATTGACCTTTCTTTCAGTGCGTATAAAATCAAAAAGGGTACCATTGGTAACAAATTCATAAACAAGTAAAGGAACTTCTATCTCCAAACAACAACCCAAGAGTTTAACCACATTCCTATGAATGATTTGTGATAGAATAACCACCTCGTTAATGAATTGTTCTATTTGGCTCTCACCGACTATTTTGGACTTCTTGACAGCAACAGTTCTGTTATCTGCTAGAAATCCTTTGAAAACTGTACCATAACCTCCTCTGCCAATGATTAAGCTCTCGTCATAGTTGTTGGTGGCCTTCTTTAGTTGATCTGCTGTGAAAATTTGAGCACTTTGGGAAGTGTTTTCTCCTGCAGAGAGTCGCTGTTGCAAAATGATACCGCCATTTTGCTTAAAGAACTTCTCCTTCAGTTTGATGAGTTTCCTTTTCTCGTATATTAAGTACAGCGTGGAAATTCCCACAATTAGAACTATGAATCCTGCACCTGTTCCTGCATTTCAAATATTTTGCACGCAATTATTGAATTTTTCAATGAACTAAAATCAATAGCTTACATACTGAATGAACAGATACATGAAAAAGAGTTGAAAAAACAAAGAATAAAATGAAATATAATAGAGTTGGATGCGCTTATAATTAGTTGCTTACCAATGACAACCTGGGTAACTATATTGTTGGGCTTCCTCCTTCAATGTTAAGCCCAAGCTCATTTGAGGGGTTTCCTAAAAACCCTAACCCTAATTTCCACCTCGTGGGTGGAGGCTAGGTCAGATTTGAGAGAACAAATTTGAGAGAAAAATTATTTGATTGTTTGAGTAAAGCTTTATGCTTTGCATTTGAGAGATCTCTAGAGAGAGTATGAGTGAAACATCTCTAGGGTAGTTTGATTATCACCATTGTTGGAGAGGTTGAGTTAACCACCACATTAGTGTATTTGATTAATTTTAATTATTATTTTCATAGTGGATTTCTGATCTGGATTAGGTCCCGTGGGTTTTTACTTCTTCATTGAAGAAGGTTTTCCCACGTTAAATCTGGTTGTATTCTTCTTCTCTCTCCTGTTTTGTGTTTTTCGTTTTGATTTTTCCACTGCGCTGCCCGACCTGGTGAAGTTTAGGCTGAGGTATTGCCGAGATCCGAGATCAGGATCTTGTTGATTGACTTCAGCACAAAGGTTGTTTAACCGAGTTTGAGGGAACCGAGTTTTCCCAACAGTGGTATCAGAGCCCGAGTTCGACGGGTTCTGAGGGAGACGAGATGGAGACCAGTGGCATAACCATTGATGGAGACATGTTCAAGTTGACCGCATACAACTTCACTTATTGGAGACCGATGATGGAAGATCATCTCTACTGCAAAGGTCTATATGAGCCCATTACCCTTGATGAGAGACCGGTAGGCAAGACCGATAAGGAGTGGGAGATCCTGAGTCGGAAGGCGATAGCCACGATCAGGAAATATATTGATAAAAGCCTCTTTGAGCACGTGTTCGAATTCACGAACGCGTATGAGTTGTGGACGAAGCTGGAGTCCATGATTCAGAAGAAGACTCCCAGGAACAAAGCACACCTGGTTCGCCGACTTGTTAAGCTTGAATACAAGGACAGCATGAGCATGATTGAACACCTCAACACCTACCAAGGTATTGTGAGTCAGCTGTCAAAGGCTGATATAAAAATTGATGAAGAGTTGCAGGCATTGCTGTTGTTTAGCTCGCTACCAGATAGCTGGGATACTCTGGTGGTGACATTGAATAATTCGACTCCAGATGGAAAATTGAAGATGGATGTCGTGACAGACAGCCTCCTGGGTGAAGAATCCAGGAGAAGAGAACGAGGTACTTCGAGCACGTCTGAGGCCAACGTTGCTGAGAACAAAGGGAAATCCGGCTCCAGCGGTAGAAGCAAAAGCCGAGGTAGAGGTCGTGACAAACGAGAAAAGTCCAGAGGTCGGTCAAAGCCGAGATATAAGATGAAGTGCTTTTACTGTGGAAAGACAGGTCATAAGAAGCCAGACTGCTGGACCCTGCAGAATGACGAGAAGAACGGCTAAGTGAAGCTGGATCAGATTATTCCCAAGAAGAGGGAAGACAAGAGCACCACTGCGGTGGCTGCCAACACGGATGCCGAGATATTCCTCCTAGGTGAGGATAATTATTTGAATGTTGCATATGATGACTGCACCTGGATTGTTGACTCTGGTGCCTCCTTCTACGTTACTCCACACAAAGGTTTTTTCTCCTCTTATCGAGGTGGTGATTTTGGAGTCGTGAAGATGGGAAATCAAGTGACCAGCAAGATTGTTGGTGTCAGTGATGTAACTCTGACCACAGATGTCGGATGCCGACTTGTGTTGAAAGATGTGAGGCATGTACCTGACATGCGTTTGAACCTAATCTCGGTAGGAAAACTTGATGATGCTGGGTTAGTGAACTACTTCGGTAGTGTTAGATGGAAGCTGGCCAAGGGAAATTTGGTCGTGGCCCGAGGTAAGAAGGAAGGCTCCTTGTACGTGATGCAAGGAAAGATCAATGGCGGAGAAGCCAATTCTGTTTGAGATGAACCTAGCTTGGTGCTATGGCACAAACGTCTCGGCCACATGAGCGAGAAAGGGCTCCAAATCTTGAACAAGAAAGGATTACCGATCGGGTTGAAAGGCCAAGCGTTGGAGAGTTGCACGCACTGCCTAGCTGGAAAGCAACACCAGGTTTCTTTTGTGAGACAGGATCAACCAAGAAGACGAAGGTATATTCTTGACCTCGTCCATACTGATGTCTGCTCCATGTCGGAAAGATCCCTTGGAGGAGCTCAGTACTTTGTTTCATTTATTGATGACCATTCCCACAAAGTGTGGGTATATTTGTTGAAGTCTAAAGACCAGGTACTCCAATCCTTTAAAGAATTCCATGCGATGGTTGAAAGGGAGACTGGCAAGAAATTGAAGGTGGTCCGATCTGATAATGGTGGTGAGTATTGCGGCCTATTTGATGCATACTGCAGAGCGGCCGAGATTCGACTTGAGAAGACGCCCCCCAAGACTCCACAGTTGAATGGACTGGCTGAGAGGATGAACAGAACTATTGAAGAGAATGTATGAAGCATGTTATCCAATGCCGGGTTACCGAAATCATTCTGGGGAGAAGCCGTCAAAACTGCTGTTGACTTGATCAACCTCTCACCATCACGGCCACTTGAAGGAGAAATTCCAGAAGAAGTCTGGACAGGTCGGAAAGCGGCCTACAATCAACTGAAAGTGTTTGGATGCCGAGCTTTCGTGCATATCCCTAAAGATGAAAGGGCTAAACTCGATGCGAAGACAAAAGAATGCATCTATCTTGGTTCGCCGAGAAGTGAGTTCGGGTTCCGACTTTGGGATCCAATCAATAAGAAGATAGTGAGAAGCCGAGATGTGATCTTTCATGAGCATGAGAACATTCATGACATCTCGAAGCCCAAAGTCCAAGTTACTGTCAGATGTGAAGAACCCATTCCCTCCTGTCCGAGCTGAAGCAGGGGGAGAAAATCAAGAGAATGAAGAAATTGATGATCAGCAACAAGCTGAAGATGACCAAGACACTGAGATCCGAGTTGATGATGAGATCCGGGATGAGAATGATGAACTGGGTCCTCAAGCTGAAGAACAACCGAGATATCCAACTCGAGAAAGAAGACCCTCTACGAGATACCCATCTGATGAATACACCGTTGTTGCTGAAGACGGTGAGCCTCAGAGTTATGATGAGGTTGTGACGAGCTCAGAGAAAGAAGAATGGGAAAATGCAATGCAAGACGAGATGAAGTCTCTGCACGAGAATCAGACTTATGAGCTGACCGAGTTGCCAGAAGGAAGACGAGCTCTGAAAAATAAATGGGTTTACAAGATTAAGAATGAAGAGAACGGGCAAAAGCTGAGATACAAAGCCCGGATTGTAGTGAAAGACTGCAATCAGAAGAAAGGAGTTGACTTTGAGGAGATTTTTTCTCCTGTGGTGAAAATGACCTCGGTCCGAACCGTGTTAGCCATTGCGGCTTCGATGGACCTCGAGGTAGAACAAATAGACGTGAAGACGGCATTTCTTCACGGTGATTTAGAAGAAGAGATATATATGGAGCAACCTGAAGGATTCCAAGCTCCAGACCAAGAAGACATGGTATGTCGATTGAAGAAGAGCCTCTATGGCTTGAAGCAAGCACCTCGACAGTGGTACAAGAAATTTAAATCATTCATGACTGATCATAAGTTTGAGAAAACTGATGCCGACCACTAATGCGTAGAATCGACAAGTGCACCGATCGTACCAAGTAATAAAGAGTGAGTAGAGTATCGTCTCCACGAGGATTGAGGCACCTAAGTTGTTATAACTATTCCTCTCTTGTTGGATTAATCAAAATAGGTTGAGAATGATTGTAGTTCATGAAACAAACTAAAATAATTAAAGTAAAAATGTAAATGATTCCAAAAGTGTTTTCAGAATGCAAGAACAAAAGATTAAGGATTGGGAAAATATTTGAGAAAATATTACGGTAAGAGAAACAAACACCTTTCTGATCCCCACCTTGCAACTTGGATTACGTTTACATTTACATATTCAATTGATCGAACAATTCATCATCTTTTATATGATTAGTTAAGCCCTAATCCCTTAGTGATCTTAACCTTGTCAACTCTATTAGAATCCTAATCCCTTAGAAATCCCTTTTCGAGTTAACCCTTAAAATCAATGAATCTTTAACGTTCGCGGTTCATATAGCCTATCCCTAGTGCGTACATGAACAGTTATCTTATTCTTTGTCAGGAATTAGAATTCCAACATCCCTATTGTAAACCCTAACCCTCGCAATCCTACTAGATTGATCAGTTCCAATAGAATTATAGAATGAAGAACAAGAAAAGATAAATGCAATTAAAATAGATAAACATAAAATTCAACCAAGGTACAAGGGGTTCACATCAAGGGTTGTGACCCTTACCACAATGATGAAACTAGCCAGACATGTTCATGTCTGACAAAATAACAATAAAATAAAGTAGCATTTAAAACCTAGAAGAGAAAGGGAAGATGAAGATCTTCCGTCTTGATCGATCGAATCCTTGAATCTCCGAGAAGCTCCAAGGAATCTCTGCTCTCTTTGTTGTTTTTCTCCTCTTGATTCTCCCAAAAGTTCCTTCTTCTTATGTTTTTGATCCTTTTATTAGGTTTTGGGAAAACCTATTTTCCTTTTGCACTCCAATTGGGCCTTATTTTAGCTGATTCGCACTTAAAAATATATCGCCCGCGCACGGGGCGCCAAGCCTGGCGCCCCAAACTTGGGAGAAACAGAAGCTGAATCTGTAAACGGAGCCCCGGGCGCCAACTCTGGAGTGCCGTGCGCCAGTCCCGCGCTCCGAGCGCCAACTCTCGAGCACCGGGCGCCAGGTTGGCGCGCCGTGCGCCACCTCCCGCGCGCCGTGCGCGGCCGAAACAGAAGCAAATCGTCGATTTGGAGCCCCGTGCGCCAGGTACCGCGCCCTGTGCGCCAGTTTGGCGCTCCGTGCGCCAACCTCCGCGCGTCGTGCGCTAGCGAGAAATTTGGTTTCTCCGTTTTTGCTCCTTTTTGCGGCGTTTCATGCTATTTAACATATAACTTGAGTGAGAGCATGATTGAGAAGGAATAATCAATATTTCTTGCATTTAATGAATATTTTCACACATTTATGATTAATTCCTTGCTTCTTTTAAGTTAGAAAACATCATCTGCTGGACTCACATCAACCACTGCGTATTTGTGAAGAGGTATGAGGCCAGAGATTTTTTGATCTTGTTGTTATATGTTGACGACATGCTGATTGTAGGGAAAGACAAATCGAGGATAGCCGCCCTGAAGAAGGCGTTGAGCTCGTCCTTCGCAATGAAGGACCTCGGCCATGCAAAGCAGATTCTCGGAATCAAGATTATCTGAGATAGATAAAAGAAGCTACTGTGGCTAAGTCAAGAGAAGTATATTGAGAAGATTCTGAAGAGATTCAGCATGGACAAAGCCAAAACAGTGAGCACCCCCCTAGCCGGACACATAAAGCTGAACCAGAAGCAATGTCCGAGATCTGATGAAGACAAAGATGAGATGATGAAGGTCCCTTACCAATCCGCTGTCGGAAGCTTGATGTATGCAATGGTTTGCACTAGACCCGACTTGGCGTATGCTGTTGGAATGGTAAGCCGGTATTTGTCAAACCCCGGCAAAGAGCACTGGGAAGCAGTGAAGTGGATCTTCAAGTACCTCCGAGGTACGACCGACTTATGTCTTCGATTTGGAGAAGGCAAAGTCGAGTTGCAAGGCTACTCGGATTCTGATTTAGGGGGAGATGCCGACTCGAGGAAGTCGACTACAGGATATTTGATGAGATTTGCCGGAGGAGCTGTCTCTTGGCAATCAAGACTTCAGAAATGTGTTGCACTATTGACAACTGAGGCTGAGTACATTGTCGCTACTGAGGCAAGCAAAGAGATGCTGTGGATGAAGAAGTTCCTCATGGAACTCGGCCATAATCAAGACAAGTACGAGCTGGGTTGTGACAATCAAAGCACCATCTTGCGAAGAATTCGACCTTTCACTCCCGCACTAAGCATATTGATGTGAGGTATCACTGGATCCGGGATGTGGTGAAAGGTGGAGAGCTCGAACTAGTCAAGGTGCACACTGACCAAAATTGGTCCGACAT